ATAATAATTTTGCTACTTATTCTGCTTGTTCAATTACTTTTTCCAGGCAGATTTGATGTTAGCCATGTTCTTCTCCATTGCCTTCGGTGCAATAAAGATGTGCCAACATCTAACCCACTCATTATTGCACAGCTTGGGTTTTGGCCAGGAAGTGTGAGCAGCCTGACGTACGCGTTCGATCCCAGGCTGTTCCTACACTGGGATCTTTTCCAGAAAGAAAGTCCAGGTTCATCAGAGAGGTCTTTCCTGAAGTCTCTAGAACAGTTTTCTTTACGGAAAGGAAGGGTTTGTATGGATTTCTTTCCCCCCCCTTTTTTTTTGGCGTTAGTAATTGTAGTAAGCTGGTATTTTTGTTAACTTGATCGTCTGTATGTCTTTTTAACTTGACCTTAGGCATTTTCATGCAAATCAGTGGATACATGTAGAAATTGACTTATTTTTTTTCTAATAAAATACAAAGTTATGAGTTTGTGTGTACCAGTAATTTTAATAAATAGACATCAATTTTTGTAAATAACTCCACAATGGTTCTCATGAGATCTTCTTTTGCAACTTACTAGGACAGTACTTCTTGCACATAACTTCTTGTAGCACAATTATGTATGCCAGTTTGATTTTGCTTCTTAGGTTGGAACAATAAACAGCAAAACATTTGGCATTGCTTTCAAAGAATGGAAGTTTTGTCAATATGAGCTTGATGTTTTACGTAAAATGGATTGGATGGAGTGTCCTTCATGCAAAGATAGTCAACATTCTGTGCATGTTGATGGAAATATGAAGTTGTACAGGTTTAAATCTGCTTAACTGTAAGTATAAGAGTACTAACTCTTCTGTGGTAGCAAAGCTGTGTATAACATAACGATAAATTGTTGTTCTCAATTCAGTTGTGTGTCAGCTACAATGGTGTTGACGCACCTTTGTTTACTGTGATAGCTAAAGCACTACTGTATGCCAATGTTCCAGTCCTGTTGGTGTATTAACCAGTTTTTTTGCATTGACAGCAAAGATTGTTTTTAAGTTACATGCATGGACACATTTGAAAATAATCAGACTTACCACTTTTACACAATTTTTGTTAGTATCATTTTGTGAATAAATGTTGCCAATGATTGTTGTAGAAGTTAAGTAGGCATATTAGGCATTTAGTACTACTTAGGAAAAGTTATGGTGCTCTCTATAACTTGTGACAGGGTCAGCTAATAATTAAGTTAATAGTCATTAAGTCAACAGACTATATCAACCCCAAACATGCGTTTTAATTTTACACTATACCATCTCATTATCAAATTAGTTTTTTCATTCTTATTTCTATTGTTGTTTGCATAAATACAGGTGACAGCGAGAGTGTTACTATGGTGATGTTTTCATAGCATCAAACAAACAGGTGGATACTCACATCCAGAAAATGTACCAAGGTGCCAAGCCCAGTGTATGCGACTTGATTTTCATAATTTCCATTTTAGAGGTTAAAATGTCTTGATAAAATGTTCTAAAGGAAAAGGTGTCTTGGTTTACCATGCATTTTCACTTGTAGTAACACGCACGAAATCAATGTATTAAGTACTGTTACTGCCTTTTAAAATGGTCCTTGAAAGCATGCATCAACAAAAAAATATAAAATCAAGTTAAACGATATCTCAACACTAGCAAATACCAAATTATATAAAAACTAATGAAATATATATACACCTACTATGCCTCTGATTGTGTTGGAAGCCAGAGGAATTACCAAGGGAAGAGGTTTTTGTTTTGGAAGATAATTTTCCATTATTTTGTTGCCTGTCACTTGGCTGCGACCCCATTCAAATTTAACCTCAGCCTTGTGGACTGGATTACTCATATCTGGAATGTCCTTGAAGAAGCACTGTGAAATATCTGATCAATATTGCAGATGAACAGTACAGAACAGAACAAATGTGGTGATAGTACCTGGAGGGCTGCTGGTAATTCCTTGCATAAGAAGAGAAACCTGTGTGAGACTGGTTTAGAGATAGCAGGATGCAGACATTCCATGGCGCAAAAGGCCATGAACATGATGTATGGTGAAATCTATGGTTATGCCCACTATTTACAGAAAACCTACTTCATCCCAAAACAGGTCAAGTTGAAAA